CCCCCCCCCCCCCCCCCCGCCCAGCTCTTCAGACAACCTGGCGTCACCCTGGCCCCATCCGTGCCCTGATTCCTGAGCCACTGCAAGCCTCCTCCCCTCAGGATACAGGGCCCCGTCCAGCCGTCCAGCCCACCGGGCCACCCTCCACGGAGCTCGCCGCCCCCCCAGGCAGCTCAGACCCTCCCCCCAGGGGTTCCCATCACTGTCCCCAAGTCTCGGCCGCCTCACTGCCGCAGGCCCAAACGGAGCTGACCACCTCCGAACGGCAGACACTAAGACCCATGCCAACGGCTTTTTTTTTTTTTCCCAGAGAAAGAAAAGTAGTTCCTCAAATTCCTATGGAATTGCAAGGGATTCCAAGTAGCCAAAACAATCTTGAGAAAGAGCAGAATTCTCTAATTTAAAGCTTGTACAGGGGTGCCTGCCTGGCTTAGTCCGTGGGCCACACAGCTCTTAATCTTGGGATCATGAATTCGAGCCCCACGTTGGGCGTAGAGATTACTTAAAATAAAATTAAATTGTCCACCTTGGCCTGCCCTGTGGGCCGCCTGATCCTGAGGCCTCCACTTACGGCCGGGGGTGAGCACCTGACCCAGGCCCCTCCATTCACGGGCTCCAGAGACGTTTCTGGCATAAAACCCACAAATGAGAGCTTCATTTGAGGTGCCTGGCCGGCTCAGTTGATGGGCTGTGTGACTGACTCTTCATCTCAGGGTTGTAAGTTCGAGCCCCACATTGGGTGTAGAGATTACTTACAAATAAAGAAAAGGGGTGCCTGTGTGGTTCAGTCAGTTAAGCATCCAACTCTGGATTTCAGCTTGGGTCATGATCTCAGGGTCGTGAGATCACGTCCCACATCAGGCTCCACACTGACAGCATGGGTCCTCCCATGGGATTATCTCTCTACCTCTCTCTCTCTCTGCCCCCCTCTTTCTCTCTCTCTCCAAATAAATAAATAAGCTTCTAAAAATTAAATAAATAATTAAATTTTAAAAAATCTTACACTATAAAAATGTATACAAAGTTACAGTGGCTGAAATAGGGTAATATTGGCCTAAAGACGGTCACTTAGACAAATGGGTTGCAATGGAGAGCCCAGAAAGAAACCTCCACATGCATCATCAGTTGATTTTCAACAAGGATGCCAAGACCCTTCAACGGGGAGGGGACAGTCGTCAACAAATGGTGCTGGGAACACTGGACGTCCAGTGCAAAAGAATGAAGTTGGACCCCTGCCTCACACCACCTGTGAGAATGATCTCCAAATGGATCAGAGACCTAAATGTAAAAGTTAAAACTACTGGGGTGCCTCAGTGGCTCAGTCGGTTAGGCATCCAACTTTGGCTCAGGTCACGCACGGTTCGTGGGTTCGAGCCCCGCATCGGGCTCTGTGCTGACGGCTGG